ATAGGAATGCATTGAACGAAGTTCAATGCGTTTCTATGGCTTTTTTATTCCCGTTTAGCGATGTTTTCGCATAGCGAAGGTTAATCCGGAACGGATTAACCTCGCTATGCAAGGCACCACTAAATTTCCCTTTAGAAAAGTCACCTTTTATGCTGACTCAAGGATAGATACCATTTTGTTTTCTTGGAAGGAAATGTTAAGGGTTCAGATAGCTGAGAAACATCTTTTGTGAATATGGGGCAGGTTTCCTTGTTCCAGATAGAGAATGTCTTGGTTAATCTCAGCCAGGCAAAGAATTACAGCAAGAGTAAGCTATGTGTAGCCCTGGGGCAACATGCTCCCCCCCCATTGGTATAACAGTCCCTGTCCTCGCAGACTCCCCCCAGGTAAAAACCTTCCTTCCCAGCAAACAAAAGAATACTGTACAGTGGTGCCTCGCTTGATGAGGATAATCCGTGCCATTGAAATCACTGTTAAGGGAAATCCTCGTCAAGCGAAATTAAAAAGCCCATTAGAATGCATTAGAAACCGGCTAATGCATTCTAATGGGCGAAATACCTCATCGTAAAGCGAAGATCCTCCATAGGGTGGCCATTTTCCGGTAACTGTCTTGCGCAAAATGCCTCCTAAAAACAGCGGGGGGGGGCATTTTGAGAGCCGGCGGCCATTTTGAAAACCACCGATCAGCTGTTGAAAAAACATCGTTTAGCGAAAAATCAGTTCCCGAAGCAGGGAACCGATCATCACTAAGCGAAAAAAAACCATTCAAACATCATTTTACGATTGCAGAAACATCATCGTGAAGCGGATTCATCATTAAACGGGGTAATTGTCAAGTGGGGCACGACTGTACATTGCTGCTTCAGGGATCCTCCAGAGCAGTGGTTTCCCTTTTAAATTGGCTTCGGCCCGCTTTCTGCCCTGTTTAACTTGGGAAAAACAAACAAGCAAGCAAACAATTTTTGACAACAAGAAGCGAACTTCTCACCACTTCTGATTTCATCCTCTTCCAGTTTTGAACACTTATTCCAGTCTGTGCAATCCCTACCGGCTCCTGGGGGCAGCAAATTATCCCCCAGATCCACCAGAATCACCCACTCCTATGCTATAGAGATGGGCACAAACAAGGCATGAACCTCCGAACCGAGGCTCATCTCCCATCTCCACTACAGAGTGATCAGTTGGATTCATACTCTTGACCAAGCCATGGGGAAATGTTGAGGTAGGACAAGGATCAGCCTTGTAGGGGCACCTGCAAAGATTTGTACCCCAGGAGTTGGGGCTGCTGTCAACCCATGGGGGGGAGCCCATGGCCTCGCGGCGGCTTCTTTTCCTTCTTGTTGTAACCCCCCCTTGTCTTCTTGCCCTCCTTAAAGCAAGTGAAGAGGGACAAGAGGAAGAAACAGGAGCAGCACTTTCACCTCCTTCTGTGCTGTTGTGTGTTTTGTGCCCAGAGGGAGAAGATGACAGAGGCAACAGCAGGAAGGATGCAGGTGGGTCTTTTTCTAGACCCCCCCTACCCCACAGACCTTTGAATTGGGCCCTGAATTTGCACAGCAGAATGGTAGCAAGATCATCCATTTTTTGTCCTGGCAAAGAATCGCAGGTAGCTGCCTCCAGCGAGTGTCTTGGCGAAAGCAAACAGATATCATGGATGTTCCCATTTGTTTCTTCGCGTTTTGGCCTTTTCGGTCACTAAGAGCTAAACAGGCCAGGCATGTGCGGCTGGAGGGCCAGGGATTCTAAAATCCCAAGATGACATTTATTCAGGAAACAATGAGCTGTCGATCCATGCCTTTGGAGGGAGGGAAGAAACAAAGGACCACATCTCCATGAACAGACTGTTCCTCTGAATTCCTTCTTGTCTAAAGCTACCCTCCTGGCATTGCATGTTCTCACCGGGGGGGGGGGGGGAGCATCACTCATGACACCTCTGGCTGCTCCCCGAACAAAGGAAAGATCCCTTAAACATTTCACGCTGACATCTTTCATTTATGATTCCAGCTTTCCCCTATCTGCTGTCTTCCAGATGGGGTGAAGCGTAACTCCCCGTTGATGATATAGCAGTCCTAATTCAGTATAGCTGGAGGAGAGCAGCCTGGCAAAGCTTCTCGTTCTGAAGTCTTTTAGGTGAAATGCTTAAAGATGCAAGTCTTACGAAGAACTCTGGCCTGATTCAGTCATCAGTTAAAGCACATGGACTCCAAACAGGAGGAGCAGAATGCAGCAGCCCTGTTTCCCTGGGATTACTTTTACACACATGAAAAGTGATGGGCTTGGAGACCCTTCCTTCTAGGGAGGCTCTCCAGGTGAGCCAGGATATATTTTTTAAAAAACAAGGCTCTGTCTCATATGTGCCACTTTGATGGATTCAATGGGGTCTCTACTTCAGACATGCTGCTTTCAAGTGAGAAAAGCAGAGGTGGAAGGGGGAGAAGACCCAATGCAATTTCCTCCTTATTTTTGGATCACAATGCTTTATCTATTCTTCAGTAGGGCTTCTGATTATTTTTACTACAACAGATTTAACAAGGTGACACCGTGTGAACTTCCTACGTATAGAAAAAGACATATAGGTCCATGTAGATATCCCTATGTGTAATGATACTTATGAGCGTTTATTGGAAGCTTTCGCCCCTGGAAAAAGTTCCCCATGAGAACGGAAGAGGATAAAACGCTGTACGAAGGAGGCGTGCCCAGGGTAAACCGCTATGCAAGAATTTTGGCAGGCTTGTTTACAAAGTGTTGCTTAAAAAAGAGAGAAGAGGCAATAAAGGCTGTTATTTTTCATTGTTCCATCTCACCCGGGTTGGTCACTGGAATTCCACAAGCTTTTAATCTAATCCATGTTGAGCGGGCCTGGATGCATTCCTTGTGTCAAGAATGAAATAGAATACATGCCCCTCTGTAGGCAGCACCACTATATTTCCATTGCGTGTGCCTTTGTAAGCAGCTGTTGCGCTGCTTTTGACCTTTGAAGGCCTTAACCAGCTGCCCATGGCCGTGTGAGTCTATATTGTTCTTGAAACATGATGTATTTCAGCCCCACTGTGTGAATTGAGAAGCCATGGTAACTAGAGAAAGATCTTGAAGCATAAGCGCATCTTAGACTGCAGCTGTGGGTTTTCCACACAGAATGAAAAGTTTCCCACACAGAGATGTCCCCATGAATAAAAAGCTAACATGTCAGTGGGAAAGCTGATGTAAATACATTTCCCCTTGATCTGCTGTGCTTTTAATATGCATGTTTTTTTTCTTTCCTCCATATTGTATGGAGAATACCACATTTTCTCCATATTATTCTCTGTATCCGTCATGAGAGCCCATAACTTGCATCTAGAGTGGTAGCAGCCAGACTGATTTAGTGAGAAACTAGTTTTAAATCACTTTGGTCCAAATTATCATCTTGTATAATGGATACACAACGAGGAGCACCCTACAGAGCGCAAGAATTTCTCCAGGGAAATAAATGGAAGTGGTGAACAAACACATGTGTGATGGATTGTGCCCATTAGTAAGAGAACACTGAGAATTAAGTTTAGTTTCTCTCTTGCTATTCCTTTTGCCATCCAGATGTTGCTCAAATCCTTTCAAACCCCTGAAATGCAGGACTTTGCTTCCACCTCTGCCTCCAACCCACTGCTTGGTAACAGCGGCCAAACGGTGCAAAGATCTTGTAAGGGTCCACTCTCCTTTTGTCAAGGGATAAAAGTTCCAGGGTCTCTTCCCTGGCAAACCTGGTGCTCCTACTTGTCCGGGAAGTTTTGAGTTCTAAATCTGTTCTGTGAAAATTCTGCATCTGGTGTGTGCTTTCACCTGTTTTTCCTTTCTCTTGAAACCCTTTTTATTTCTGTTTTTTCTTTGGCTGCTTTTCGGGTTATTAGAGGAGTGGTTCAATCAAGGTGAGTCTTTCTTGATTTCTTTTTCATTTCCACTTTACTTTTCTGCCAATGCTTATATTTTCGCCTTCCTCCTCTCTCGTATGTATGAATTAAACCTGGAGAAGGGCAAAGACGGAAAGCTTTTTTTTCTTACCGGCAATACTCCAAGGTGCATGAGTTTAGCGACGCTCATTCCCATTTGATTTGTTACACTCGCTTCCATTAATTCTGATTACAGATTCCTTCCAAGAACCCAGGTTGGTTTAGTGGTATTCTTCAGGTCTGATGAAAGGGGAGAACAGTAAAAGGGACCACTCTCAAATCAACTTTGCATGCCCCTTAAGAATTGCAGTGATTCTTTCTTCTCTTTTTGCTTTCAGAGTAACCTGGAAAAAAAGAAACTCTTGCATTGCTCATCCATGTAATTTGCATGGGTTTTTTTGCTGAGCCAAGAGCTTTCCCTAAATAGAATATCTATCGGCTCCGTCCTCTACAGATTATCTCAGGAGTGCAGGAACAAGGATTGTAACTTCCTTACCTTCCCTGTTTCCATGTTTCTAGGTGATGCTTAAAGAAAAAGATTCATATCTGTCACTGTTTGTTCCCGTTGGGTGCATGCTTTTGGCCTATTTCAGTGATTCCCAACCTTGGGAAATCCAGGTGTTCTTCGACTGCAGTTCTCAGAAGCCTTCGCCAGATGTGCTGGCCGGGGTTTCTGGGAGTTGCGGTCTGAGAACACCTGGGGTTGGTTGAAAAGAGCATATCATGTTTGCAGGTATTAAAATATAATCATTTTTGTCCTACTTCCTTGATACAGAGCTCAAGATAGTGTACTTTGTCCCGTCCTATCCTCATAGCACCCCCTAATCAACTGCAGTTCTCAGAAGCCTTTGCCAGATGTGCTGGCCGGGGTTTCTGGGAGTTGCGGTCTGAGAACACCTGGGGTTGGTTGAAAAGAGCGTATCATGTTTGCAGGTATTAAAATATAATCATTTTTGTCCTACTTCCTTGATACAGAGCTCAAGATAGTGTACTTTGTCCCGTCCTATCCTCATAGCACCCCCTAATGTGGGTGTTCAAAAGCATGTAAATGTGGGTAGATAAATAGGTACCATCTTGGTGGGAAGGTAAATGGCGTTCCGTGTCTAGTCATGCTAGCCACGTGACCACAGAAACTGTCTTCGCACAAAATGCTCGTTCTATGGCTTGGAAACGGAGATGAGCACCATGCCCTAGAGTCGGACACAACTGGACTAAATGTCAATGGCAACCTTTACCTTTACCTATGAGAAATATTGGCTAGGATAACCTAACCTAACTGCAGTGGAGATGCTGCTGACATAAAAAGGGCAGCAGTGGTGATAAGAACCAAGCACTCGGTTGCCAAAGGGAACACTGCAATATGGCTTGGCACTCTGTCCTTAGGAGGCAAAATAAAGTGTGTCAAAATAGCCACAACAACACAGCACGCACTCATGAGTCATCTGGTGTGTTGCATTTAACTAAATCATCCCTGGTGTCCCAGTTTGGGGAGGAAGAGAAAATCTAAATCAAGTAAAGAGATGAATCTGTTTTCATCTGCCCCCCACCAAAGGAGATCCGGGTGGGGAAAGAGGTAGCAACCGGAAGAAAAATAATGTCACAGTAGCTAATGTATTGTCTGTGTTAAACTATTCTGTTACTACTGAGTCCTAAATAGCAGCTTAAAGAAGGTGGGAGCTTATTTCCCTAATCTCTCTTTTTTTAAAAAAAGACAACCTGATCATTACAGGGCAGGCAACTAAGAGCACCTTGCTGGGTGCCTTTGATGTACCATCTCACAATGTGGGTTACGCAGTCAGTCAAGTTGGTTCTTTTGATCCTTCAGGAATATAAAGAGCTGCCTCCTGCCGGATCAAGCCATTTCTGTCATCCGGTTCCTTATTGTCTACCCTGACTCCCTTGCAAGCTCTCTGAGATCTCCAGCAGAGCTTTTTTTTTTTTCTATCACTCCGGTACGTGATCCTTTTTTAATGGACCTGCTGGGGATTGAACCTGGGGCACGGTACATGCAAAGCGTGAGCGCTGCCCACTGAGCAATACCCCAGTGTCAGACAGCTGAGGTTGCAAAAAGCAAGTGTAAAAGACTTCGTGCTAATAGATGAATTTTTGGAACATTATGAAACAAAGGGCCATTGTCTTCGGGTGGGGACTTCTCAGCTGGTGTCTGAATTTTCTTGACTTCCTTTTCTCTGTCCAAACCATTTTCCTTCTGCATCTTCTTTTCTCACTGTTTGTTTCCTTCTGTTGGCCTATAAGATGCTCAGGGAGCCTCTCTTGTCTCAAGAGGGGATGTTTAGTTATTTACACACATACCCCCCCTCCCAATTATAGGAAGATAGTGTGAACCCCTAAGCCACTGGTGACACATATTCTGGGCAACATTCCTAGACTTTGCCTTGATGTTGCAATTATTCTAATGAGCCTAATGTACAGAAATACGAGAACAGGTGGCAAATTGGCACTTGATGTGGCATGGTTGCAAACACACAGCGTGCATCAATATTGGAACAGGCTCCATCCAGCTTCTCTTCTGTGCATGCGAATTTTCCTCCTGCAGCTGCAGAAATCCATTTAGATGGGGTGCGTAGCAGTGACAAATTTTCATTTGGAGAGGAAACAAGCAATGGTATGTTTCTCCATTAGTGGTGGGGTCATGGTGTGCATGCATGTGTTTAAGCACAGACATTGATTGGCCTGTCTTGTCCCGGGGAGGCTCTCAGCACTGAAAGGGGTCTTGGTTACAGCGCTTTGTTGCATAGCAGTTGACGCAGTACACTTAGCATCAGTTTGCGGTAGGTAGTGTATGTAAACTTTACATACCATACTGTAGTTCAGCCCTCAGTCTGTCACCAGAGCTGATCAGGACCCTGGACAGCTCACCAGCTGAAAGCTTTTTCCAGGTTGCGAGGGAGCATCATCAGCCGCATGTTAAGACATTATGATAACTTGTAAAGTATAGACCACCCAGCAATGTTTTGGGGTTTCCTCCCTTGAGAAACCGTCTGATATCTCTAAGGGCTGCTGTGTTATTAAATAGTTGTCGACTTCTACAGTAATGGCATAATGGAAATTGCACTTGAAGAGAGTCCTCTGAATCTTGTGGTGAAGTTCTAGCTTCTGGTCTGGAAAATTTCTCACCTCGGACAGAAGATTTCTCATCTGGGTCATCCACCAAGCTTGAAAGAGAGTCGAAGCCAGGAAGGGAAGTGACCAGATCAACACAATCTTGATCTTGATCGTACGACACTTACAACTTGTGTTGGTGGTGTCCATTGAATAGCCATTGAGGTTGACAAAAGCAAGAAGAATACACAAAAGTGGCTTTAAAATGTTACTACATTTCTTCAAGTGTTTGAGACCCTGATAGTTTTTAATTATATTAGCCCACCTTATTGTTGGTTTTAATCTGTTTCGTTGTGTTAATTACCCAGGGGAAACTGATAAGACGACATACAAATGTCTTGAAAATAAATATAAAAATGACAACTCCATGGCTGCCAACCTTGTAGATAGCAGTTGGCTGACACCTCTTTAGGACTGTACAGGGTTGCATCCAGCTAATTAATTGATTAGATCTGCATATATTTGCGTGAAAGAAACTACGGAGTGGGAGAGAGAGAGAGAGAGAAACTCTTTTTCACTGAAAGAAACTACAGAGTGGGAGAGAGAGAGAGAGAAACTCTTTTTCAGAAGATACACTTCACTTTGTGAAACAGGCATTCCCTCCTGGTTGTGCATGAGACAGAAACCACCTGCTACTCACTAATTTTGAAAACTCTTCCAAAAAAAATTGAAAGATCTGGGGTTTATTTTTGAACAGTGGATTCTTGTGGGTTTTCTTATTGGTTAAGAAAGGGAGAAGATAACTTAGTTGCTCAAGGGGGGGGCAGTTATCTATAAGCTGGGAATCAGATGTCTTTGATGCCTTTCTGTTTGTGAAAAGATGGCATTGAAAAAAAAAAGCTGTTAATTTTACCGCTTGGGAGGTTGCCTATCGTTTATTATACAAGCAGGTTTCCTGTCAGGCAAGCTTCCCATCCCTGAGGACGATGGTGGGTCTAATAGCCAAATCCCACGAAGCAGGCCTGTCAGCTGCCATTTGAAAACCTGTCTTTCTTCTGCTGAGGGTCTGAGCTGCATTTCTGGCCTGAAAATACCTCCTTCCCCTTTGGGATGGAAGTCTGAATGTTGACAGACGACACTTGAGTTCTGTGGAGGGGAGGAAAATGTTGTAAATGACAAGTGGGGATGTGAATTAGAACCTCTGGCAGATGTTCAGTGTCAGAGGGATTGTAGATCTACTGTTGCTGTGCTTTGAGGTAGGTTGAGCAAAGGACCCACCTTGGATTTCTCATAAACTTTACCTCAGGAAGCCAAAAGACTTGATTGCACACTATCATGATATCTCCACCCTTCATTTAGTCATGGAAGGCTGTGATTAAAGAATATTAGATTCTGGAGGTAATGGTCTTACAGTAGTACCTCCCTCATCAAGTTAGGTGAGACTTATGAAGCCTATGTCTACATACAGGGAGTGACTGTGCTATTTTTTCATGCCCCCAAGCCTCCCCCAGACTCCCCTGGAATACCTTTATCCCCCCAACCCCAATTTCTTTAGTGAAAGGAAAAAGAAGAATTGCTTTTTCTGCACCCCTACACGTGGTGGACCTCAACAAATGGGAAACCCTGACATCTGAGTGTTCAGCCTGGAGGCAGGCGTTGCATCACAGCCTCTCCCAATTTGAAGAGACCCTTGTCCAGCAGGCTGAGGCAAAGAGGCAGTCCCCAAACCAGCAAAATCAGGGAGCTGGACAGGGGACAGATTGTATTTGTCTTCAACGTGGAAGGGATTGTCACTCTCGAATTGGCCTGCTCAGCCACACTAAACGCTGTTCCAAGTCTGCTATTCAGAGGACGCTACCATAGTCTCTCGAGACTGAAACATGCTTTAATGTCAGGTGATGTGTCCTGCAACCTTTTAAACAGGTTACAGGACACATATCTACCATTAAAAGAAAGGTACAATACTCTTAGAAGGTCTTCCAGTTACCTCTGGATTTCTTCAACATATGGAGAACATTGAATTTGGGGTTGATGTAGCCCCTGGAGAGTTCCAGGACAGAAAATAGTTGCGGGGCTTCCCGAACCTGATGTGAATCCATATGCTGAGCAGTCATATTGCCTGGGGTGCCCGGTGCTGCAGACAGAGGACAGGAAGGCTGTTGGGCCTTCCAAACCTGCCTAGAAACAATGGACATTATTTCATGAGGTGGATGAAGATGAAGGCCGAAGGAAAATTGCTTCCTAGGGGTATGTAAACCCCTACTCTGGCAGTGGAAGCTGTTGAGAAACACATGTCTGCTGTCTTTAAAAAAACATGCGAGGGGAGGGTCACAGGCTGAAATGTTCTTGAAAGGAAATTGGTCAAATATTTGGAAGTTGCTTCCATGAGTCGCTGTTGTTCATGGTGACCCATGTGTATCCATTTGCTGAGCAGCCATATTGCCTGGGGTGCCAGGTGCTGCAGACAGAGGACAGGAAGGCTGTCTTCCTGCCCAACATCTGTTTCCCAAAAGTGTCTGGCTGTTCATGTTCAGAAACAGGATCCATGGAACATCTGCATCCTCCATTTCATCTTTGCAGGATTCGTCTTCCAGTTGTATTGTTTTCCAAGGCCTTGGGTATAACCAAGCTCCATAATAGATTGGATATCATGGAAGAGGGGTTGGTGCTGCACTAGAAAGATGAAGCCAAGTGTATCTCATTGTGAGATGTATCACTCGTATGGGGACTGCTCAGAGAGGAAAAGGTTCGTCAGAAGATCTGGAAGCAGACGGGAAAAATCTATAGCAAAAGCATAGGAAAAAAACACCCTTGAGACTTTAGGAAAAATACTGAGCAGTGCTTGTTAAGCTGACTACAGTCAGTATATCCTGTTGCTTGTAGAAAGTCGGACCTAGAGTAGACGCATTGAATCGGTCAAACGTACAGAGCAACCGACTCACCAAATCCATACTAATTCAATGGGCCTATTCTAGTTGCAACTTTGTTGCTTGTTGTAGAAAGTCGGAACTAGAGTAGACTCATTGAATCGGTGGAACGCACAGAGCAACCGACTCACCAAATACATCCTAATTCGATGGGCCTATTCTAGTTGCAACTTATTATGCCTAGAGTAGACGCATTGAATCGGTCAAACGTACAGAGCAACCGACTCACCAAATCCATACTAATTCAATGGGCCTATTCTAGTTGCAACTTATTATGCTAAGTAATAAGATTTCAGTCATTGTCTTACTGTGTTGATACTGGTTTTTACATCAACACATGTGTGTGTTTCTTTTGAGTGGATAGTGTTATAAAAACTATTGCCATCACCATTTGTTTCTGCACCTCCCATTGACTTGATCTTACTGTCAGCATCCCACTTTTGAGCATGCCTGTCTGTTGTAGGAATTGTGTTCCACAAGTTTATTCCCACCATGTGCATTTATATGTTTATCTGAACCTCTAGATTATACTCCATGGAACTGGTCAGTATTCCACAACAGCTGATGTTACGGCAAATCTGTGACATGCTGCAGGAATCTGTTGTTTTAGTTGTAGCAGACAAACATGGAAGATATTCTCGCAAATTGTTAAGGAGATTTTGTCATAGAAAAAAATGGAGTGTGTTTTGTCTGTGCTGGGGAAATCCTGTCATTTCCTCTCTTCTAAGAAGCGACAACTGAGCTTCCTAGCTAAGCCGTTGGACTTGGTTGTCATCGCAGAAAGCAGCAGTTCTGTTGTGACGGCTGACACTCGCCTGTTTCTCTGCGTTTTGCATGTCTCCCCAAACAGAGTCTGGAGGGTTTGTTTTGAGTGGCCCAAGAGTGAAGGATTGGAAGGTCTCCTGCGGATTCCTATCATTTAGCCTGGCAAAGGTTTTCCTAGAGGAGTCAACAAAGCAGGTTGAGATGTGGGGTTTAGCAAGGACTTGGGCTTCTGCGCTGAAGCCCATAATAGGGTGGCAGGTGCAAAACAGACCATGTTGGCCAACATGTGAGTTAAAGTTGAGTGGCAGATTTAACAGGTTTTGAACTATTGAAAATCTATGATTAGATCTCCAGGTTCATGAACCTGCTGTACAAATGAGTGTTTACTGTAAGGAGGGATATCATAGCTTGGGGGTAGCAGTTTGAAATGATATGAGATGTAGAAATGGTGAGGAAGAGCGATTAACCTATTCTTCCCTAGGGTTGAAACGCCAGTAAAGTTGTTATCCTTCCTGGAGAAAGTTTAACATGACCTATTTTTTTGCCATGAAATAATTTTGACAAAAGATTCCAAAGTTGGAAATGTTGGCATTAATGTTAATGTGAAATTAGCTTTGTTAATGTCTGTCATGCTGAGAAATATAATACTAGTTTTTTACGTCAGTCTTTAAAAAAAAACATGCTTTAATGTATAAAATGAGAAATTCATTAAAAATGGCCAACCTCTCAATTACACCCAAAATTAAGGAATGAAGCTAACACAAAGTGTTTATTATTACTTAGATTTTGCGTAGTGTAACGGTAATTCACTCAGAATTGTGGGGGGAAATTGTGACTGAAATCCAATTGCAGAAACTAAAGCAGCTGGTACATTCCATGACAGCAGAAGTCAAAATGAGAGACCACATCTCAGAATGTAGAAAGATGTAAATAATATTTATTATAATTTTAAAATGCCCAGTGTGTTTCAGCACACACACATTGAGCATTTTTATAAAGATTATTTACATCTTTTTTTACATCCTGAGACCTGGTCTCTCATTCTGACTTCTGAAACCCGGTTACTCAGCATAGTAAATCACAACTAGAGTAGGCCCACTGAAGCAATGGAATTTACAGAGGAGTTGACTCATTGAATCCCCACTGATGTTACAGGCCTACTTCTCTTTGTGATTTAGTACACTAAATTGGAATGATTTCAGCCTATGGGTAATGAATTAAATTTTAGTTACTCGATTTCAAATTCTGATGATGATATGTAGGAATACATGCTGAAGTATTTAGTTCCGAGAATCACAAGGAAATAGCAGTTCAGCCATTTTAAAACTGTTTTGTACTTGACTGGTTCTTGCATCTAAAAAAACAAGCAGCGGTCCATGAAAGATGACACTAAATAAAATATCTTCTTTTTTTAAAAAAAAAGCTGCAAGACTACTTTTTTGGAAATGTGTGTGTGGTTTGTGTCCCTGGAGAATAGAAAGGAAATTTGTTCCTTTGACTTTGTTGCCAATAAGATGATCAGATCAAAGCCTCCTCTACAATATTCTTTAACATACGGGTATATCCATCTCAGTTTTAGAGTGTTGCTCCTGCAGTTCAAGAGAATGGCTGTAGATATCCTTTGAAAAATGAAACAACACATTCTGAATCATAGAAACACATCGCTGTGCCGTTGGTTGTGTAAATCCTTGTCTCTAGGAATTGGTTTGGAGGATCTTCTGTTCTATTCTATTCTATTTTTCAATTGTGGTGTTGTCCAGTTCCATTGAGGAGCTTTGAGGACTAAGGACCGGGCTATGTGATACTCCACAGTTGTTTTACTGAGATTTCTAAGGGGGTCGGGGGAGAGAAATCAGCCCTGTAGCAAATGTAGCAAACCCTGTCCACCAGTACATCCAAATATGTGTATATTGCCTATAAATCTCAAGCCATGAAAACAGTCATTTACATGCCTGTAGCATGCATATGATTGGGTGTGAATGAGTGTGCAGTTCTGGCATTTTTATTCCATTTGTATACATTTTGGGGTGCTGTGAATGCTGAGCATGATTTTGCTTTCCTCATGTGCTGAATCGTTTTATTGCTCTTCCCTTTTTTTGGCACAGGAAAGAAGAATGGGGATGCGGACAGAAATTTTGATACACTGGATTTGCCAAAGCGGTCTGAATCAGCAAAAGGTAACGAGCAAACTCTTGACACGGTGCTTTGCAAAGATCAGCAGAGGGGAAGGGACTGAGAAATACACAGCATTTACCCTGATATTTTAGCACTTCTTTTATCTCACCATTAAAATGAATAGTGAAGTACCATCAAATGCCTCTCCTCCAGTATATGTTATTTTGTGTTCGGACTGAATTGGCTAAGAACAGTGATCATTAGGAAAAGACGCTTTCTTTTGCAAACAACGTGTGTGCCTCATGCAGCTTCCTCGGGCAGTATGAAGACCTTTCTTCAATTTATTGTTTGTTTGTTTTGTTTTATTGCTGCACGCCGTAGCTCTCTTGCCTACATAATGCCATTTAATATGTTCATTTCTGTTACTGAGCTACATCCACTGATATGTATGTTGTTTTCATATCTTCTGTAACAGTGCTACAGGTTAGGAGACTCTGGATTCAAGAGGGTCTTCACCAGTGCTGTAGTCCTTTCCTGGACTCTGAAATATAGTACAGACTCACTTATGCTGATGCAGAAAACCCTCTCTCTTTCCTTGGTTTTCTTTTCTGCTTAACAAAGGAGATAAAACTGTGTTTGCAAAGGCACAGGTGTTGAGAACATGCCCAAAATGTCAAGCAGATATCTCCCAGCCTTGAGTCCCCCAAATGTTCTTGGACTGCAACTCCCAGAAGCCTTCACCACTAGCTATGCTGGCTAAGGTTTCTGGCAATTGTAGTCCAATAACATCTGGGGACCCAAGGTTGGGAGCGAAAGCTCTAGAACATTGTTCTTAAGCGGCAGGGTTACAAACCACTGATGGGGGACGCAGATGTGATCTGAGATGCAGGAATGTCGTAACGATTAGGCATTTATTCTTGTCTGTTCTCACATCCTCCTGCAAGTACGGTTTGCCTCTACCATCTCTGACGTACTTTTCCCTTCTCCGCCAACTGCTTTTAAAGCACTATAAAAACAAGAAGCCTGTAGACATGTCAGCGCTCTTCCTGGAAGAAGTAGGGCTTTTGGTCTCTCTGATGGTGGGACCCAGCTTCTTTGATCGAGGGATTGCTTGGATGTCAGAGACAAACAGTTGAGAAGAGAGCTTCTAGGGTGGTGCGGAAGCTTGCTGGAGACGCTGTCATTTACTCCACGTTGGTGTCCAAGAGTGAGGCAGGGGAAGAAAACTGGTAGATGATTGATGGAAGTCAGTCTTTTCCGAAGCCTTTTTGCATGGCTTTCTTAAAGCAGGTATGGGGATGCCTTAAAAATCACATAAGGCCGTGGTCAGGCTGTCAGCTTCTGAGGCCTGCCCTGTAGCCTGTCGTGTTACCCCGGTGTAAGCCGGTTGAGTCCTACGGGTTGGGAATTTTTCACCTTGCAGAGTTTTCAGCCGTAGCGCCATCCACATATTTTCTTTTTGCCTGGGTTTCTTTAAAAAAGAAAGATCGGGTACAAATGAAGACGGTGTTTTAACGCCTTGAAGGGCGGCGGCGAAAGAAGAATGTTTTCTCACTCCAGCCTGAGGGGAAAGGTTTGTCCCGACCTGCCAAAATGTCTTTTTTCTGAGCATCCACCCTTTGCGTATTCTACTTTGGCAGCAATCTTAGATCCATTCACCTGGAAGAAAACTCTGTTCAGAGGATCAGAACCGAAGTGATAAGTAATCATGTACACAGTTGCGCTATCCGTTTAGATAACAAATGGGAGGAAACTGCCCAGCACTTGTGATTCTGTCTCAAGATTAAGGGGTGCTTCCTGATGGGTAAGCTGTTTAACCATGGAAAAGCCTTCCACAAGAAGCGACGATACTCCTCTCCTTCATGCGAGGCATTTAAGCAGAGGTTAACTGGCTGTCTCTCAGGGATGGTATCTTGCTTTATCATGCACTGGAAAGAGAACTGGAGTAATTTTTAATATTGCTGTTTTGACTTCCATATTGCCCCATAGTGCTTAATGCACTCTCTGAGCGGTTCACAGCATAATTATGCAAGGAACATTTTGCACCCGAGTAAGCTGGGTATTCGTGTTACAGACCTCAGAAGGATGGAAGGCTGAGGGAACCTCAAGCCAGCAACCTGAACCCGTCGGGATCGAACGTAGGTTGTGAGCAGAGGCTTGACTGCAGTACTGCAATGTAACCACTGCATCACGGGGCTCACATGTGCACTCAAATGAACTCTAAGGGGATTTCCAGTGCTCAGTTTCTATAATAAAGCTTATAGATGGAAAATGACCGTATTTTCCGTGTATAAGATGCCCCCATGGATAACATGCCCCCCACTTTTCTAATCCAAAATTTAAAAAAATAAGTGAGGCTTAGCAAGTGTAGGGGGAAAGGGACCAAAGCGCTGTAGGATCGCTTTGAGCCCTGCTTTCCCTTCCACTTGTTTTTGTTCTCTCCTCAGCTTAACTTCCGTGTATAAGACGACCCTCAATTTTTAGTCTAAAGATTTTAGACAAAAGTATAGTCTTATACATGGAAAAATATGGTAACTGACACCAAGAGGACTCTTGTTTAATTACCATCAGCAAGTCGGTTTTGTAAAAAGAAAAGGAACCCTGTAATTCTCCAGTTGTTATTTTATTACAGTCCATATTAGAGATGGGCAACAAACTGCTGGTGAAGCAGGTCAGCCTGATTTGTTATCTGGCCCCATAGGTGTCCCACAGTTCGTTGCTCTGCCCCCTCCCATTGGCGCCCACTGAGAGGCAGTGCCCAGACTTTCCTGCCCCACTTCCCCTGGGCACTGCCTCTGGGTGGGCACCATGGGAGGGGGCAGGGCTCTGAACCCTGGAACACCTGTGAGGATGGTAAACAAACTGGGATGAACCACCGAACCAGCGGTTCATGCCCATCTCTACTCCCTATCATCAATTACCATCCTCATGCTGGCCGAGCCTGATAGGATGGGGGAGTCCAGCAACTTTAGAAGGATGCTAGGTTCCCCATCCTGACTTCATAATTTGTTGTTGTTGTTTAGTCATAAGTCATGTCTGACTCTTTGTGACCCCATGGAACAGAGCACGCCAGGCCCTCCTGTCTTCCACTGCCTCCCGGAGTTGGGTCAAATTCATGTTGGTCGCTTCGATGACACTTCCAACCATCTCGTCCTCTGTCGTCCCCTTCTCCTCTTGCCTTCACACTCTCCCAACATCAGGGTCTTTTCCAAG